AGCGTTCAACAACAAAAGGCCAAAATCCGAAAGAAGATCCAGCCGCCACCCTTCCAGAAAAGGGCCCCCAAATCCTGGGACTGGGCCTAATGGCCAAGGCAAACAGACAGACAGACAAATACAGATATAGAAACGGAGACGTCGCCAGCAGCGGATTTAAGTGCAAGTGATTTATGTTCCCGTAGATGTGGGCGAAAGTCAGTGGTCTGAGTCGAGGCTACAAATTAGCCAAAAAGAGAGTCCGGCAAAAGCCAGAGCCAAATTGCAAAAATAAAATCAATCAAAAGTTCAATGACGAAAATCAGCGAACAAATTCAAGAGGCACAGGAAGAAATTACATAAATTGAAATTTTCACAAATGATTGTTTACCAAAAGATATTTTTCAAATAATATTCATTAATTGATATTTACCAGTGATATATAGGTAGATAGATATTCACCAATTCAATTAAAAACGAACTTCATTAAATATTCCACAATTCAACAACTAACAATTCAGTTCACCAATTCAACAACGAAAAGAAATATTGAAGAATATGTTCAATAATGTTCACCAATGAAATATATTTAATTCGACAATCGTATTTTAAGGATTCTTCAATACAATTTTTTATGAGAAATTGGTTTTGATATCAAATACAAAACTTTCTCCTTGTGCATTTAGCAAATATTTTGTGGCCTGGAAAACAAAAAGGGTTAAACCGACAAGGAACAACTCAAGACAAATTCAATTAGCAGCGGTCAGTGGCTACCCTTTCAGATATTTGAATCATAGGAAATAGATATGCCCTTCAAGCTGGATTCAATTACAAGTTACAAGTGGTCAATACCGGCTAAGCGGGCTTAAGGCCGGCCTCCTCCCTCCTTTTTTCTTTTTATTATATTTTCTCTGTGGTCAGTTGCGTGTTGGTGTAATTGAAAAGCACTCAATGGGGTCAAAGGGATAGGGATTGGAGTGGGAATTCCGGGGAGATAGGATCAACTGCTGACTAATCGAGTTTAAAACAAGCGTAAATTGTCCTGGGCTTTCCTTTTGATATTCGACCGGACTTCAGTGGCGTTTACTTGCGGTGCCAAGTGCAGCGAATACTCCAGGTAATTAATGGTAATTGTCCAAAGCTGAGCTCAGCTGAACCCACATAGGGCTTCCCTCAGGTGAGCAGGGCATAAAAAATATACACATATATTGGAGGGCCAGAAGAGAAAAGAGAGGAGAAGGTGCTTTTGCATTTGCCTAATGACACAAAAGTAAACCGTTCCAAATGGGGCGAGCAGAGAGCGACTTTGTATAATTTCCATCGCCTTTTCGTTAAGCTCTTAAACCGATTTGCAGCTTAGTTGAATGGCCAGGAGATAGAGGAGCAGCGACATCACTGCAAATATTTCACAAAGCCAAAAAAAATGAAACCAAAACTTCGTGGTGTGTTCATTGGAAAAAATGCCTTGGGGCAAGACAAAGACGCTGTGTGTTTTTTTGGTGGCTTGTCTTGTGGCATTTTTACGGCATAAATTTCCATTGAATTGATACTTTTTTCGGATCTCTACAAAACCTCTAAAAACAGCTACAAAGAATAAAAAAAAAAAAAAAAGGTTGACACAATCAGGTAGAGTATTTCCTCCTGTCGGCCGATATCCTTTGAAGGCATCAGCAAACACTTGAGCCACAACAAAATTCATTAAGATTTCAAAAATGCTTTTTGCTACGATCAATTTCCTGGAAACAGAAGTTCAAATGGAAATATTCTATAAATTATTTACGACTAGAAATTAAGTTTTTTTTTTTTTGCTTAATCATAAAATCCTAAGAGCCGTCAGTTTGGTATGTTTCTTCACGCCCAAAAACCAAAAAAGGTATCGCATTCAACGCTTCAATCTACAAGTCTTGCAATTCCCTTGGCGAAACCAAATTCTGATCAAAATCCGAAACTAACACTACAACATAAATAAGAGGAGAAAAACCCAAAAAGATCAGCCGCAGACGACGAAATCTTGTGGCAACTTGCATTGAAACATTAGCAGTGATGACATTTTTGCGGTTAGCCCAAAAAAAAAAAACCCCCTCGGAGCCACCCTCTCTTCAAAATGTCTGGAGATCGTCTGGTCATGTTGCTTTTTTGTTGGTTGAGTGAAATTCCTGCCAACGCGACACTTCATACATAATAACAAAAGATCTCAGGGATCGCAAAAGGCCAAACTTCAATCACTTTAAGCTTGGGAGTTTACTGGATACCCTGTACATTTTTACCTTAGCTATTAGCTATTTTTGACTAAATTCTATTATTTCTAAGCTGTTCCTAATAAAAACCTCACCTAATTCCTTTAATAATTCTCACCAAAATACACACCAAATCCGTCATAATGAACTCATTTAATAATCCCATCACCCGAGGGTATTTAGACCTTCGTTCCAAATCTAAAAAACAAGCCCATCAAGCTTTCTGTTCTCTGCTTATTTTTTGTTGTAGCATTTGTAGGGCTTTCGTTGCCTTTAGGTTTATTAATTGTAGCCTTGGACTTGGCGATGGTCCCCCTGTCTTTGTTTCACAAATGAATGCACAAAATTTCGGGACAAGTCTCTGCTCTGGCTGCGGTTTCTTTTGGGCCACGAAACGCAGACAGTATGACGACGTTGAAAGCCGCAAGAGCTGAAAGCCAAAAGCCGAAAGAAAAAAACAAACAAAAAGCACAGGCACATAAAAGTAAATTATAAGAAAGAAAGAAATCCTTTTTGGCTAACTCGTGTTTCTCTTTTTGAGGTGAGAGTGCGGCTAATGAGCCAAGTCTTGGATCCTCTTTTTCTTCGTCATCATATTTTAATCTTGAACTCGGGTCTTCGATTTCAGAAAGAAAAAACCAGTTGGAAGAGTTTTTCGGTAAAAGGGAGTGGATTGACTTAATGCCTATAAAATTATAGGTTTCTTCTGGAATACGTCCCAGCTTGGAAAATTGTGTTCAAGCGTTTGTTTTGGGGCGTTGCTCAAGAAATTAATACAAAAAAAATATATATAAACCATCACGAAAGAGCATTTTCCCCCCACTTGCTGGAAGAAAATGCCTTTGAATTGGTTTGACTTTCGTTGAAGAAACCCAGAAACACGCCCCGGGGCAATCACGCAAAATGCCAAATTACATGTAGCCACCATTAAGCGAACGAACTCGAAACTCGAAATTCATCTAACACGCACCCAAAAAGGGAAAACACCAGGCTATTGGGCCCAAAAAAAAAAGAGTCATTTAAGGTGTTTCTTACACGCGTTCATTACCCTCGGCAGCTGTCCAAAAACGATCGGATGAACTGCTCGAATTTCATGAAATTCCTCAGATTCAGACGCACTTATCCTGCCATGATCCTGGCAGCACCCCCAAAAAAGAAAAAATCACATGCTGTATCGAAATCCTCCCTCTGCTTAGTAAGAGGCTTACACGTGCCTTGGGATTGGTAATACGAGACAAGCCATTCTCAATTTACAGCCGTTGTTAATGGAACAGGAATCGAAGGACCTTGTGTCCAATTCAGCACAAAAATTGGGTCAGTAAATATATGAAATTCAAAAAGAGTTTGTAGAAATAGTTTCTAGAAGATTAAGGAAATATTACAATCATATCTAAAGGCATATAAAAATATTATTATTATAATATAGTAGTTGGGTAATTATTATAAATGTAAATTAACTTTGTGGCAAAAGTATCTAATAAATATATATAGTAGAGTTATATATTCTGTTTTACATTGATCCTAATCTGCATTGAAAGTCACAAAACTCGTATTAATAATAATATTTTAAGCACTTGTTTTAAACACTTTTCAAATAAAGTTTAAGCCAAGCTATTAAGTACAACTCTCTTGAGGTAATTTCATAGACCAAAACTCCATGAAAACCTAAAAGAAAATTGTACCAGCACTTGGACAAGACTTTTCCCGGCTAAAAAGTGGTTTAGAAACGCGGCTGAAAAGAAGAAACGTGCCCTACATGATACAAATAAATCCATTGTTGAGTTTTAAGCACCTAAAAATTCCAGAAAATCTAGAAAAAAGTTAACAAAAAATTAACAAAAATCATAATCCAGCTTTAATGGTCATCCTTCTTGGGGTTTTTCGGCTTCTTGATGAATCTTCACTCTCCGTTCCCAGTTCCTTTAAGGTCCTCCAAAAATGCTTAAATAACTAAGTTTAGGTCAGTGAAAAAATCCATTTGGTTTTTTTTGTTTTATACTTTTCAAATATATTTTGGTTTTTTGTTTTTTTTTTTTGTTTGTTGTTTGTTTTCGTTTTTGTTTCTTCGTTTTGTTTCATATATTTATTGGCTAACTCTTTAAACTTTACTCTGTAGTTTTGTTTTTGCTTTTACTCTTAATCCTTCCTTGTTTTTTTTTTTAATTATATTATTAGTATACAATATAAATAATTAAAAATATTACATTAAAATGTATTCGTATATCGTATAGAAGTTGCTGGTTGTTTTTGTTTGTTGTTGGATTTTCATTATGTATATTTTACTTTTCCTTCTCTTCTCTTAATTTTTGATTGCGTTTTCTCTCATCGTCATCTTCTTATAACATTTACTTTTCATTTTACAATTTTGCTAAAAACTAAATAAAATGTTTTGTTTGTAAAAACAATAATAATAATAATATAATAATAATTATTAAAAAATGTATGCTCAAATTATTGTTAATTTGTTTATTTTATATATTTTAAAAATAGTAAAAAGCAAAAAAGCGCCTTCTTTCGATTTTTAAAACATATTTACGTATATATTTTGCATCATTTTTTAAATTTAGTGTTTTTTTTTATATATTTTTATTATTATTTTTACTTGCGTTATATTTTTATAAAATATCACCTAAAGCAATTACGTATTTCAGTTTCAGTATTTTGTGTTGTGTGTATTTTAAGTTTATTTATACAATGCAACAATAAAAAATGTTTGCTTGGTTTTTTTAAATATTGTTTTAGCAAAACATTTAATACAGAAAATCATTAAAAAATAATGGTTCAACGAAAATGCAAAAAGCTCACACATTAAATCATAGGAAACAAAGTGTTTTTCTCTCCTTTTTTTTTTGCAACAGTTTTTCTTTTTTAACTAAAAAGCGGCGAATTATGCTAACAGAAAATTATTACATAATTACAGCAATTTTTTCGAGTTTAAATTTAGTTTCTTACATACAAGGTTTTTAGTTTTTTTTTAGGGTTTTTAAGGTTTTGAGACAAAGTACAACAACTATTTTAATTTTTCATAATTTTGCAAGAAAGTTTTCCCTCCATTTTCTTGGTAGTTTTTGAAAAAATAGTACAAAAGCTTTTTGTTGTTGTTGTTGTTTAGTTAGTTGGCTATATTAAACCGCTGGGAAATCGGTTTGATTATAGTCTAAGTATACAAATGACTGCCCATATAGCTGAAGGAGCTGCTTGGATCGACTGATCTCAGCTCGATTTAAGTACATTTTTTTTGCATTTTGTAGTTTTTTCTTTGTTTAGTAGTAATGTTCTACAACTCAAAATAGTAGTAGAAGTTAGCAGTAGAAAGTGTGTGTTTTGGTAGCTAGAGAAGAATTCGATACTCTTGTATCATTTCGTATTGCAAGTTAAGGGTTTCAGGGGTCCTCTGACTAAGAACTATATAACGTACCCTATAGTATACAATTTTGGGAGGGGGATTGTAGGGTAGCGAGGGTTCTCTAAGTTTCTCGACTGCTCCTATATTTTTGTTTTCATTCTAATTCAATTAAATTACATTTAGCTTTCCTCCTCCTGCTCGCTATATTTATTTAATAATAATAGTATCGCGTAGTTTTCGATTTGCTTCGTTTAGTAAATGCTTAAAGTTTGTTTAGTTTTTAGTTGGTTTTGCTGTTTGCTTTACGTATATCAATTGTTCTTGAAAGTTCCTCGGCTCATTTAAAATGTCGATCGTTTTTCGTATTTTTTGTTTGTTTCTCTAGGTAATAAACAATAATGTTTTATTCGTATACTTTGCATTTGAACTCAGGTTTTTGGGTTTTCTTTTTGCTTTTCTGGTATCTCTTTTTTACGTATATGCGTTGCATGATGAGAGAGTTGAAAACAAAAAACAAAAAAAAGTAATTAACGAAAATATCCTTATATATCTTCTTTTATTTTTTTCTCGTATTATTTGGCAAGTTTCGCTCCAGTGTTGTAAAACACACGAAGGGAAAAAGGACGTTTTTGTTTTTAGAAAAATCGTATACACGTTTGCTAAATTGAAAAATTCCCGAAATTAATAAAGGAAATTAAAAATTTCAAACTAAGCATTAGAAAATATATATGTATTTATATATATATATATATGTGGGGATAGAAATTTCTAGGAATTAACTATACTCTCTATCTCTTTCTTTTCAATATTTTGTTTCAAGCGCAGCCTAGACTGGTTTTTAGTTACAAACTACATGGCTAAGCTTTAACTCTATATTAGATCGATTTTTTCCGTATAATTATATAGAGAACTGATGGGGGGGAGTAAAAGGATTAAAATCGAGACAGGACTAAAAGTCCGCCTCGTGTTTGATGCGATAGCTGGCATAGGTCTCCTCCAGCGGTGAAAAGTCTTGGGTGCTGGGCTGTTTTATGTGTGTGATCATTCATATTTTTCCAAGTAATTGGCACAGATTTACGTAAAAGAATTTGGGATTTTAATTTTAGAGAGAGATTTTAGAAACTGTTTGTTTTGGGAAAAATATTCTTGTGGGCTGTGTGTCTGTCTGCTTGTTTGCTGTTGTTACCAGAGAGAGGAGGGACTTTTTTGGGGGGGTTTTGTCAAATATTTCAAATATTTACAAGTTTACAAACTCAACAAAACTCAAACCGATAACAGGACAAGTTATCGATACCCGCCGACTAACTGACCAGGCCCACGATATATCGGGGACAGAAGAGTCAGAGGTCAGAGGCTTTCGTATATCATATAATCAGTATACATATATAATATATATGCGTATGCTTGGGTATTATATATATATATATATAGTTTCTATATAGAACTCTATATAGAGTTATGTGTGCATATGTAAGAATGTTAAAAATTGGTTAGATTTTTGGGGGGTTAGTAAACTTTCTCATTATTATATTATTTAGAGGGGGACCTTTTTTTGTTTTTTACTTTTTTGTAAAGGGGTTTTTCAGTAAAGGGGGAAAAATAATCAAAAATAGTTGGTTGGTTGGTTGGTTGGTTAATGGTGTGTGTGAGTGTTGTTAATAATAATTAATAATATATTGGCGAGCTATATGGGCCTCTTGCAAAAACGAAGTTCTCGAACATTTTTCATATTTGTTGTAATTTAATTCTCAATTTATGCTTTTCATTATCTTTGTTTCTCTGTTTTTCTTACTTTTGTTTTTCAGTATTTTTGTTTGTTGTTTGTTTCTTTAGTTGTTGGTACTTTTTACAAATTAAGCGAAATTGTTTGTTGCTCTAATTATTGTTGCTCAGTTGCTTTTTTGTTTATATTTTGTATCATTTACAATCTGCTTGAGATATATAAACTGATATTTTGTATTTGTTTTCATTGTGAGAGGGATTTTTTAGATAGTCTGATGGGCAGTAAAAAGAAAGCAGCAACGAAAGCAGAAAATATTCACTTAAAAAGTGCATAGTTTTTGTCTTTCGTTACTAACTTTTTTTTTGCTACCCACAGCCTGTTTGTTTTTGGAACTTAAATTTATGGCATTTACTGTACACAGAAGGAGGAGAGCAAACAAATTTTGTTTGGCCGTGGCAGCAACGGTAGCAACATTAATGGATTGTCCCTATATATATATTATATATATTTGTAGATATATATATATATAGATATAGATATAGATAGACATTCGTAGTTCAGTCTGTTCTGGTTCTGGCGTTCGTTCGAGTCGGTTTAGTTCAGTTCGGTTTTTCCGTGGCCGAAGCCTCGTTTTTTTTTTGGAAGCTCGTTTGTCGCTGGTATGTTACTTATGTCGGTTACTGTCCTCCAGCCGATGTATGTTGCTGCCGTGAGTGTGTGTGTGTTGCTGCTGTTGCATGTTGCTGCCGTTGGTGTTGCTGCTGCTGCTCGCCGGCTCGTAAAAACTCCTCTGCTCTCCTTTTAATTTATTCGCTTTTATTTTGGAATTATTACTGCTATATTGTTTTTGAAATTGATTTCTTTTAATTTGTAATAGTTAATTTAGCTTTCTTCGCTTATTTTTGTTTCGATTTCTGATTCTAATTTACAAAGTGTGTGTGTGTGTGTGTAATTTATGGGTGTGTGTGTGTTTTGTATCTTTTTTTGGATTTGTTCATAATGACGTACAACTTCTTCTGCGTTCGGATTTGGATTTGAATTCATCAATATTAATATTATGTTTGATATTTTTTTTTTTAGATTTTTTGTTTGCTGCAAACAAGCGCAGCAACATTTTTTTCTGTTCTTTTACAGTTATCGGTCATCGTTCATCGATTATCGATTGTGGCATTTTCGATTTGGCATTCGATTCGCACTCCAACTCGATTCGATCCGATTCGATTTTCATATTTCGCTTTCGTACTGATTGATCGCATTGCAATTTATTATTATTATTGATTCATTTTAATCCCAGGGCATTGTGAGCACCCGCTTCGTTTTTGCAAGAAGGTCGTTATCGTACTACGAACATGGGTGCACCACCGCATTGTAGCTCGCCAATATAGGACCATGTGCTCCCGCGAAGGGGGTACTCACAACGTCTGGTGTACTAGCTCCATCGGTGTGCGACGTGGAGTCGGCATTGCTGCGCCCTTCTCCGTTCGCCGATCCCAGCTCCGGTGGCTTGGTGGTGTCCCGTTCGTCGATCACTAAATCTATTGGCATTTTACCCTTTAAACACGATATATACCGATGACAGAAGTTATCGCATAATTCGTGCACCTGTCGAAGACGTAGGGTTTTTGTTTTTTTGTTGTTGATTTTTTGTTTTTTTTTGGGGGGAGAGAAGAGAAGAGAGAAGAGAAGAGATCATCAGTTGTGTTGTCGATTTTTGTTTTTTAAGTTCTCTAGAGATTTTATTGATATCCCCAGAGAGTAGGGGGTGGCAAAGGGGGGGTGCGGTGTCTATATGGGGTGGTGCTAATCTATAAAGGGGGGAGATTTTTCTAAAGATATTTTACAGGGGCTTACTTATTCTAAAGGGATTTCTTAGGGGACTAATATATTACAGGGAAGATATATGATCATATCAAATAGTAACGAAGGCAGCCTAGATGATCGAATGGGTTTATTATAAATTGTTTTTAGTAAATTGTATCTTTTTTGTCAAATTAAGCTTGTCACTAGTTAAGTTTTCCCTTTTCGATCATCTATCTGTTGTAAATACTTTACAACGTCAGTGAATTTCAAATATTTTATATACTGAATTTAAGGATCACAGCTACTTGCCAATTTTTATACCCTTGCAATGTATATTTATTTAAGTCAGAAGCTTTTAACTATATGAAGAAGTCATTTCCGACCCCATAAATCATATATATTCTTGATCAAATTTTAAATAGAGTATGCAAATTTATAACCCCAATAAAAACCAACATAAAACTGCTTTCCGAATTGAATTTAATGCTTTTTGGCTTAGTTATGCGTTTTTTCAATTCTAATTGTTGGTTAAATTTGTGATCAAAACATATCGATAACTGCAAGGGTATAGAAACTTCGGTTGTCCAAAGTTAGTTTCCTTTCTGGTTGTTCTTATATCTACACTTAAAGCGAGCTTAAACATTGCCATACTTAGCGCCATCGCATTCTTGCCACAACCAACCTTTAAGAAATATAAAAACCGGCTCATCCGCGATCCCCGCCCCCGCGAAAATGGCATGCAAATTGCTTTTGATGCGTTACCTGCTCGAAAACTCCATCTGCAAACTCCAGACGAAGGAGACACAGACCCAGACCCATGGCCATGATGATGGCCACTCAAAAATGGCTGAGGGACAAAAGCCTCTCTCTAACCAAGGCCCATAAATATGCATAGAGAGAGGTCCAAAATAATGCACTGGCCGAAAAGGAAGTGGATGGATGGAAGGAAGGAAGGCGGGCAAGCTCAGTGCCTCGGGGCACACTTTTAGCCAGGCCAACAAGTTAGCCAGTCAGCCAACCAACCAAGCAGCAACATCAGGCAGCACGTGCAACACTCGCATTAGCAACATGGAGATGTTGTACACAGAGGGAAATCAGTATTTTCTCAAGGAAATACTTGATTTTTAATTATTTGCTGTGGGTAAATTTTCTTCCAGTGCCCAGAAGATCGTTGTGGCGTCAGCAAGAAAAAGGCCCAGAAGACAGAATGCGTTTTTAAAGCCCTGTTGTTGCTGGGCTGTGTGTGCCCCGTGTGTGCCCTGTGTGTGTGTGATAAAACAAATGCGATAAGGCCAAAGTGAGTGTGAGTCAGGCATACTATATGCAAATATGCAGGCAACAAAGAGAGGAATGCAGCCGCCGCCACGGCTAAAAAGAAATTAATTGCACTGGGCCATGGCTGGCAGACATAGCAGCAGCAGCAGCAACACCAACAGCAACAACAGCAACAGCAACTGCAGCAACACCAACAGCAACAACAGGGTGCTCCATTTAACCGATGCCTGGCATTTAATTTACGAAAAAGTGCGCGTTGCTTATGCAAATTGTTTGTTGTTGCTGTGTGTTGCTCCTGTGTGTTGCTGCTTCTTGACTTCATTTTTTGGTGTTGTTGTACTTTATTTTGGCCTGCGAAAGCTGCAACGGCGGGGCTATTAACTTGTTGCCCATTGCCCAAACTTGTCAAACTCGTTTGCAGGCTGCTTTCAATGTTATTGTCACCAAAAAAAATAAGATGATAAAAAGCAAGCGGCGGCCTGCAACTGGTTTATGACAGGACAATGTCAAATTTGTCGCTGCCGCCGCCGCCACTGATAAGCGACAGTGCACAGCAGCAACAGCAGCAGCAGCAACATGTTGCTGGTGTATCAGTTTTATGATTGCATTTGTAGCTGTCAAAGCGACCATAACAATATCCATAAAGCTTGCAATTAGCACGCCAGCAACATGTTGCTGCTGCTGTTGCTTCTGCTGTGCGCTTACCAAATTGATATGTTTATGATGCCGGCAGATGCCGGAGCATCCTACTCATCATCATCATGATGATGATGGCAAGACCCTTTGGAGACTCAACTTTCGATGCCGGCTGGCTGATAACTTTTGATTAATTTGTCAGCATTGTATGTGACATATTCGAACGGCTCATTGCGATATTTATGACTGTCACAAGAGTCTCTTCCCCTCCCTTATGTTGCTGCTGTTGCACATTCGATGTTGCTGTTGCTCTTGCTGTTGCACATTGGGTGGGCCCCCCATTGGACATGCGGACATGGACACCATGCCACCACGGCAGCAACAAGAGGGCGTTCCTCTGCCCCCCTCATTTGTACATCCTGTTAAGCAAAACTTTTCACAGCACCGGCAGTAGTTAGTTTTAACCCCCCTTCACAGCTTCCTCTCGTGTCTCTTGCCCTCGATGTAATTCTAATCTCAATGCAAATCGCTCCAATCTGCGCAGTGGTAATTCTCGATTTCCGTTCATAGATAGAGAGCCTCCAACTATACTGGGCAACAGCCTCCAACACACACACTGGATCTGGTCTCTAACAAGTTTCCAGAGCTCTAACTAACTCTTTAAACCCTCTGTGTTGTTCTGACATTTAAATGAAATGTAATTAATGGTAATATGGAATGCACATGCCTAGGATAGCTGCAATATTACTCTATAAATCTCTAGAAAATCACTGAGAATATCATCTGAAGTTACGTTTTTTTTTGGCAGATCCCTCAGCTTGCATCATCGGTTTGAGAGTTAACAAAAAAGAAACCCCTCAAAAAAAGTATACAGCTGTCGCTGGCAATGTTGCTGGTGGTGGCAGCGATCCCGAAACGATCTTGGCCAAGCCATCAAAACAAGGCCCCCAAATTGTTAAGAGTGTGTGTTTGGTGTGTGTGTGTGTGTGTGTGTGTGCCCCCATGCCGATTCCGATTCTCTGATTCTCTCTGATACCCCCTGCCGGCGGAGGAGCGTGTGCAACTGACTGACCCAACGTGTTGTGTCTCTGACTACGTCCTCCTCCGTCTCCGGCTCCGTCTCCGTTTCCAACTCTGGGACTCGCATCTCGATCTGTGCTGTGTCTTTTTGTCCCACTGTCCATCAGGCGGTTAGTCCCACCGTCCCGTCGTCTGTTTGTCAATTGCAATGCCTGTGCCTTGCCTGCCTGCTTGAGTTTTTTTTGTTTCTCCCCTTTATATATATTTTATTTTTTGTATTTTGTATTTTATTTTTTACTTTTTTTTTTTTTTGCATGACTTGGGGAGCTAAAAAGCTGGAGAGTCTCTGGGAGCTGTGTGTGACTGAGGGGCCCAGACTGTGCCACTGAGAAACTGAGACAGGCAAACCAGTTTTGACAGACACAAGTCTTGAAAACGTCTTTTTAACTGATTCTGTTCGCTGTAGCAACAAATATGCACAGATACAGATATATATATATACATATAGATGTTGTATTATTTTTTTTTTTTTATCCAGCCCGCACATTTTATTTAAGTATATTTTGTTGTTGTTTGCATTTATATTTATTTTATACACCAAAAAAATCGACCGCTGCATTTTGTTGGCTGCATATAAATGAATGTGCTTTATTTTTTGTTTTTTATCCTTTTTTTTTAAGATATATATATATATATTCGATTTTTTGTACAAGTTGCTACAGTTCTTTGTTGGTTTCGTGTTGTGTGTCGCAAGCTGTGTGAGTGACAAATGACAAAACAAAAACCTGTCGTGGTCTGCGCCGTTGATAAAGATCTTGACTGTTGTTTTGTTTTATATATATATATATTTCTTTTTCTGTATTTTAGTTTTTTTTCTGGCTTTCTATACAGGGTGCTGCAAACAAATTGCAGCTGGCCAACTGACTGACTAACTTGGCTTACTGCACTAGTTTTATGCGTTGGGCTTAGAAAGCGTTTTCGCCCAGCTAATTGCACCTTGATTAACAACTCTTCTTCTGTGCAAGTTCGATTACTTGTCATTAGCCTATATCTGGATTGAAAAGGTACTCACTTTATGATGTCCAAAAGAAAATAAAAAAGAAACCGAAACGGACATCACATTCCACAGCAAATGACTTTAACTCTACTATATATATATATTCCCTAAGCGTTCCGGCTTGTATCTTTTATATGCACACAAAGAAATTAAACGAAAGATTAAACAGCAGACTTGTTTAGACTTAAATGAAGAATATATAAATTGATTTATATAAATAAATATTTAAGGGAAATTCTGTCTTCCCAGGCTTTGAAAGCTTGAGTTCCAGATTTCTTAGATTATTCCCATTATATAGATTATATTCTTAAAAAACCTGCTTCAATCAGCAATGAACTCTTTCGTTATCGGCTTATTGTAAGCACTAAAGTTTTTAATATTATCTGATGGCAATCGAGGCATGGCTAATATCCCATTTATAAGTCATGTTCTTGGGGCCCAAGATTTGTTCTTGATTAGCTCTTTTCTCAGTGTGTTCTCTGTCCAGTGTTTTGCATAATTTCTTACTTAAGACTTAATTGAAAAAAAGAGTAAGAGACGGGTTTTTTCTGCTGCTGCTGCTGCTACCCGGTCCGGCTTAGACTTAAACTCCGGCTCTGGGTTTCAGTTTCAGTTTGAGTTTGAGTTTGAGTTTCGGTTTCGGTTTAGGTTCGCTCCACGCTTCGTTGCGCATTTGCCTAATTAATTTTCTCAGCACAGCAGCAACAAAAATAAAATACAATACAAAAACGAAACGAAAAATTAAGAGGGGGGCATTAATTACGACCACGTTTGAGGAACAACTTCCATTAAGTCACAGAGAGAGGGACTCTGACACGCACCCGCCTTGCTTGCATATTATTTGAAATTAAAACAAATTAGGCAACCTGTAATTTTTCCATTTAGACAATAAAGTGTCTAATAATCAAGTAGGTGTTTGAGCCACTCACTCCCTCACCTCCCTCCCTTTGCGGCTCTTTTTAAAACATAAGAGGAAAACCCTCCCCCACTTTGGGTATATAATTTATGTTTGGCTTTTTTTGGTGTGTGTGTGTGTTATCTAGGAATTTCTAGGGGAAGTTCCTGCAGTCATCACACCTCATGTATCAACAACAAAGGCAAAGGCCGAAATAGAAGCTGAATGCATTCCATTGTTCAACTTGAAATATATTTCTTTTGCATTTTTTGGTCTTTTATCTTACGCATTAAACTGTAACCAAAAAACTACAGAAAACACCTGCCGCTAACGCTGTTGGCCAAATATTTGTGGTTTGGGCCTCACATCCTGTATGTGCCTAACAAATATTTCACTCTGATTGCCAATTAATTCAATTTTCAGCTGCACTTTTTGCTGCTCTATGTGTGTTTCTCCTTTAATTTAGACATTTTGCAAGTGTATTAGACAAGCTGCAGATATATGGTCGCCTGCTGTGGGACTCTGCTCTACCCCCTTTGGAACATGGCTCAATAAAATGTCAACACAAATGTTGGTAATTGAAATGCGCGCCCGTTGGCAACTATTTGCTTGCTCTGTTTTTTTTTCTCGCATTTTGGTGGCTTTAGAGGGGGGCCTGCTTTTATATTTATGGGCCTGCTGGCTGGAGACTGTGTTTTTGGGGTTTTGGAGTCCTGCCTGCCTGCCAGCCCGGGGTTCCTGGTTAAACATTTTGGGTGGTCTTTTTTCGGGGCGTTGATAAATGATTGCCGGCGACTTGGCCGCTGAACTGCCTCGCCTGGCTCTCTGGCTTTTTCCCCAGTTAATTGCAATGACTAAACAAATGCTGCTTTGATGAGTTTGCATAAATTGGTTTTTCCACCGATATTAAAGCTATATGGCATGGCAAATGTTTAAGCTTGCTTAAAGTATTGTAACTAAAACTTATTTATGGGGGGAAATTTACTTTAAATGGAAAGTGTTACTTACTTTTTCTAATTCTAAAAGGTGAAACCGAAGTACTTGTATTGCTTGCACCATCTGGAAAGAGATAAATAAATACAAAATCAATTAGTTTGAAGATTGAAAAGAGATTTAAAGAGTGACCAAAGCATATCATTTACATATCCTTTAGAGTGACCAAAGCTGTTGTTAAAGCATCTAATCTATCTTTATAGAGAGCTAAAGGTAATCTGTCTTTTAAATGCTCAATTAATGTTTAATTATGAATACGCTACAACCACTCCCCTTTTGGTGGCCCCCCCCATAAAACGCGGCACAACTACTGGATTTTCCGTTTTGCTGTTGGTGTGACCAGACCGCTAATTAAAACATCAGCTTGACATTTGACATTTTTACGATGCTGCTAACTGCCGCTGTGTGGCCTGCGTTTGGTTTTGGTTATTGTGTCTTGCTGCTACTGCTTAAGGAATTCCATTTAAACCCAAGACATGCCATAAACATTTTTATAGCAAAAGGGGTTTTCTCTCTCTCCCTCTCTCGTGAGTTTTTATTTTATTTTCTTTTTCTGTTCCTTTAAGTGAGTGTTACTAAATGCACTTTTAAATGTTCAAACACGATAGCGGATAAAGGGGGAGTGGCAACCACAGGCTGGCATGCCAAAATGATTTATGGCCAAAGTACGCAGACGCGAGCGGGCCGAAAAGATAGACGCACACAGGGCCATGGCCAAGAGACGGCATCTAGATCTAGGAGAAACTGAGGGGAAAACGAGGGGGAATCTTGGAGGCCTTCAGTGATTTTGTACTACAACTAATAAACTAATCTGCAAGTGCATAAAATTAGGGCCACCAGTGACTGCAGGCTGCAGCAGGCTGCTTCGACTCAGCCGCAAGCGAGTGGGTAAGTGACACATTTACGACTGCCGGCAATTAAAATTAGTTTTGCCCATAATAATCTCTTTATACTCTGCCAGACTTTTGCTCCACTATATATTCTTCTCTCTTCTTTTTTTAGTATTATTTTGGTTTTTGTATTTATCTGCCGACTTTAGCTTAGCTGCTACCCAATTGCACGGCTCGTTTTGCATTTCTTTTTTTGTTGCACTCTTTGCACGCGGCATTTCCGTCTTGATTTACATTCAGCTGGATGCTGGATGCTGGATGCTGCCCTGCCGCCAAAATGATCTCTTTTTTTTGGTCCCCACCTCGGCAGGTCGTAAAAATTGTTATGACTTGGAATGCCAGCAGGGAAAAAGGGAGAAAAAATAAAAGATACAAGAAGGAGACTGCCAAAGAAGAAGGATCTGTGTTGGGTCAGTTGGATTAATGTGCTATGTGGAGAGGTATTTTGTGGTTTAAGGATGCTTGCTACACCTTGAAAAATAATCAGAAAATGGGTGAAACTAATCTGAAAGTTAATTAAATCAAAAGAGAAATTAACTGTTTAGGAATTCTTATATAGAGAGTCTTAAAGTTTTAATTTTAAATGAACCAAAAGTAAGATTGACAATAAAGATTGCTTTATTTTACAAGCATTTATTATTAATTTATACAATTTTCTTATAAATCTGATCCTGTTTCTTAAGTATATCTATCTACTTCTGCTAAATGATCCCTTAATTCCCAGTGCATTCTGACTCATTTCGTTTCTAGATTTCTGACCAATCCCCAGAAATGTGTTTCTGTATCTTGTTCAAAATCTGAATGATCTTTTTAACGATCATTTCCCTTTGGCAGAGATTAGCATGAGTTTATTCCCGTTTCCCCCTAAACTAATAATAATGCTCCATGAAGAAGATTCTCAGCCTCAAAACAGCGTCTCGTCGATCATGATCATGATCAGCGTCAAGGTTGCTGCTGTCTGGCATTTGCCTTGGAATGCATATTCTACTAAAGTCAAGACGTTGGCTCCATTGTTGTTATATATATACATATACATATAGTATAGTATAGTATAGTATAGTAGTTTTTTTTTCTTTGCACACCCAAGGCTGCTAGTGGTGGTGGTGCTGCCCAGGCAGCCCATTTAGAGAGTGCAAAAATGTCATATGCATCATTAAATCGTTCTGCTTCATATTGTCGTTCGCATGGGTTCGCTCGCTGCTGGCCCTCCGATTTTTTCCCCCTGAATATATATATATAGTGGTATATATATTTGTATAGATATATATATGCATATATATCCCCCCAGAGAGATGCAGAGAGCGAAAAGTATGGCAACGCTGTCCAATAAAATGACTAAACAACTCAGTTCAGTCTCGCCGTTCTGGCAAACAAATGCTCATAAATTGCGTTCGCTTTTGCCGAGGCTTTTGCTCTTTTGCTAAATTCACTGTGATTTATTCTAAATAAAAGAAAATTATTCAATTGTCGTTTGTCGTTTTGGGTCAAGGTGATACCCACACACACACTACATTCAGCATAAAAAACAGCAACTACAAACAAACAAAAAAATAACAGCCATGATCTTTGGCTTTGGCAACTTGCTGCCAAGGAGGCTGTGTGGCAACTTTGTTGCCAGCTTTGGTTTCTTTAAGTTTTTTTCTTCAGTTTTTTGTAGATTTTTTACTTACCAGTGAGTCGACTTCGGGATCTGCGGTATAATAGGGTTTCTGTGATCTTATCTGCAAAGAGAAAGAGTAAAAAAAGGACAATGGTTAGTAAGTGTTAAAGTTTACAGAGAGGAAAATAAATCCCAAAATTCATATAATTATATATGATATTTAAATACTTAAGCAAAACACTATTTCTCTTTGTGCAAAATAATTTTTACCAGCTGTTCTGGCCTCAAAAAAAACCCCCCCTCTTCGTTTGGCACTCTTCTTTGCTATTTTATGATGGTCTGTCTGCCGATAAGCCCATGCCAAAAACCAAAATATTATACACATTATAAAACTACAACAGCAAATCGGTTCCATGCCATGGGAAACGCCACATTTGTTCAGAGCTCATCATCATCATCATCCAGCGGGGACCCGAAAACCCGGAGCCACCGAAGAGGTGACGATGCGACTCGCTGTGACCATAAAAGAGATTCTCGCTTTTATAGCAATCCCAGCCGGAGCACACGTACATAGATATAAAAATAAACCACACACTTAGATAAAGATCACAAAGGCAATATCTGGCTAGATAAAATGCCACACAAGACCGACCGACCGACCGACCGAACGAACCGGAGAAGGTCATCATCAAATGCTGTGCGAATTATTTGATATTTTTGTTTCTGTATTTTGTTTTCTCTCACGGAACTGAGCTCTTGGATCTTCACATATTCAGATACTTGGATATACACACCCGCTGCGATATCTTATACAATGGTTGTGGGACCTGACCTTGTCCAAATCCATGTGTATGTCGGTTTTCTGTGTGTGTGCTGCGGAGTTTGTTGCTATTTTGACCACCCAGCCACATGCAACAAGGTTGCATTGCAGGCGGGAGGTCCCTCGGACAGGGATTATAGATACATTTTTGGTTACAAAAGATGTGACCCTGAAAGGAACTAAGGGTATTATGGATTTCACAGTTGTCTTTTGAGGTAAACCCAATACAAAGGGTTTTTTAGAGAGATCTTCCTTATATGAACAGAGTTCTAGGTACAAGGACTAACTCCATCTATAATAGTTTTAATAAACCTCTATAGAATGATCTGAAATTTGGTATGCAAACTTAAAAAACTCTACAAAAGTGAAATATATCTACACTATCAACAAGAATAAGTAAGGGATAAATACTATCTCCATCTAATCTATAATAATTTCAAGAAACCTCTATAGAATGATCTGAAATTTGGTATGCAAACTTAAAAAACTATAGTAAAATTAAATATATATACACTTTTAAATTTCTTTGACAATAACCATAGTTTTCCATTATAATTTCCCTTTATAGCATACCCCCAGACCTTCAAACACAATTTCCCAATTAAACATTGCCACGACCTTACGTGTTAAGCTGCCCTACTGATCTCCTATAGAATTCAAGCTCTTCTAGATCTTACAGAAAAAGAAAAAATATATGTAAAAACCAATACACATAAACAGATCTGAGATCCAGCGTTCGGTCCAGTGGTCCAAGGCAGTAACGGCAATTTGAAATCAACTGAGGCATGTGCAGCTAATAATTACACACTTTGCACACGGACATACAGACGGAGATGGAAAGAGACTTTGGTGTACTTCGCATCTAGATATGTGGGCACTTCTATACCATCGTTGTATGAGAAAAACGCCCCATTGTGAGGCCAACAACAATAACTATAGTAAAGCACAAAGCACGGCCATTGAGGAAAACCAAAAGAGGGGGGAAAACTCAAGAAGGGTGAAGCTAAAAAGCGAAGCCAAGTTGCGTGTTGAGTATTTTGCAAAAGAAAAAAAAAAAAAGAAGTTGTTGCCTGTTGGCTTTTATGTTGCATTTTCAAATGCTGGTTGGTCGAATGGTGTGGCACTAGCACACACACACAACACAACACACACCACATCGATATACAGATAAAATGGTAACTCGCCAAACTGGTTTCTACTTATGCAGGCCCGTTCGGTTCGCGCTTTTGGCTTTAACTGATATGAAGAGAGCACACAAGTTGGCCAGGCATATTGCACGCACTTTAAGGCCTTAAGCAAAAAATCAAAAACAAGAAAATAACAACAAAAAATGGCCGTTAAGGAACCTTGAAAAGTCCCCAAATAACATCTCTTCCCATGCTAATTGAAGTTACTCAAGAGAAGATTTTAAAAATATATAAATCATTCAGAGCAAACTAACTAAAATGCACAGCATGAGACAAGTCTATAAATACAAAAATGTTTAGGCAGTTGGGGCATGAAAATGTATATGGAAATAGGAATTGGAAATGGGAATGGGAATGAAAACGAAATGATTTTCCCCCCAGACTTTCCACCTCTCTGAAATTGCTGCAGTGCGTGGGCGTCTCTGCAGCTGACAATTTTTATATTTATAAAGTCTAAATACAGGGAGAACCCAACATGTTTTTTGACAGATATATATATGTTGAAAATACAACAGTTGTCTTATGGGACATTCAAATAATTTAATAATGCCTAGTTAAGACTTTAAAATAATAAAAAATATTAATACTCTGACAAGGGTATTATAATTGGAGTCAGAAGCTTGTAACTATGTGAAGGAGTCATTTCCGACCCCATAAATCATATATATTCTTGATCAGCATTGAAAGCCCAATCTATCTAGCTTTGTGCGGATAAAATTTAATTTTTTTTAAATTTTGAAAATTTTATAAGGGGTTAAAATTAGTTAAAATTGTCAAAAATCAATAAAAATTTGAATTTTTTTACATTTTAAATTGAGTATGCAGGTTTATTATCCTAATAAAAACTTGCATAGAACAGTTTTCCGAATTCAAATTAATGCTTTTTTGGCTTAGTTATGAGTATTTAAAAATTGGTATATAAATGTATCAATGAATATCCGTTAATATTTTCCAACAATTTTCCATAATTATAACATTAAATACTCTTCCTGCTAAAGTTACTTCCCCATAGTAATAGCGCCATATATATTTTTTGTTATATATATTTTTGAATCTGAAAACTCATCGAGTGTCCGACATTGTCACGCGCCCCAAACGGAACCTGAGAACCTACAAAAGCGAACCCCATTTCTAATCAGTTTCACATGAGCACCTCATAAATTTCTATTTCTGTTTTTTTGTTGCTTTCTTCTTTTTTCCTATTTATTTTTTATAGTATGTGAGCTTTTTTTGCGAAAAGAAATCACTACTGTTTAGATACTGCTCTTCAAACGCGCCTTCTTTTTTATGATGCCAATAAATGCAATTATACAACCGACAAAAAGGTTTTACAATGTCGCCGCGTCTCCAAAGATACAAAAAAAAAAAACAATATGTATATATGTTATATATATAAACATTTACAAATAAAAATAAAGCCAGGGCAAAAATAAAAATCGAAACTAGCTGATGGCGTAGGTGGTCATAAATTTTCTAGATCTAGCGATTATGGGGGGAATTTTGAAATCAGTACCATTTCACCAAACCACGTGCTATCATCCACTGTCATAAAACTATACAGATATATATATTTATATACAAACTTATATTGGGGGACAAATTATGATTCAATCAGGAAATTTCCTTAGACAATTATCGTAACTAGGCATTAAAATCTGTAAGTTCATCATCAACTGACGACACAATGTTTTCTTTTCTTTATTATTATTATTATTTAGCTCTCCTGGATTGGGTTGGACTATATTCTTTTTATAATGCCAATACGGTTGGGCATGATTTTATGGCCAGGTCGGCTAGAGGCAATAAAATCATTCCGAGGAGATAGGGACAATAGTACTGCCTACAACCCGGGTCTATTTTTTTATATTTTTTGGTCTGCAGGCACTTGAGTAATGTGGCCATAAAGCCCCGGTTATAGTTCCAGTCAGAGTTTCTTTTTTTTACCGGTACCCACCTTGGTCATAAAGCAATTTATGCACCACCGACGGACGGACGGACGGACGGACGGAGACGACTTTTGGAATCAGCGCGCACAGTAGCCAAGCCTTTTGAGTGTTGTTGTCGCTGACGATCGACAGCTAGCTAAGTCTTTGCCCACTTGAGAAAAAAAGAGTGCAGTGATAACAGTGATAACACAAGGTAGCCACTAAAACAAAACAACAACAAAGATTCGCAAATAGCTGAGTAATTGAAGGTTGCTGTGGGAAAACCACTTACACAGAAAAGCAAAAGGGGAAAGTAAGGAAAGTCTGGGTTAAAGAACCCCAGCTAAAAGTTCAAAGTTCTTTTTCCCTCTTATTAGTTGTTCTAATTGTGGAGCCAAAGATAAAAAAAAAAGAAAAGTCAGCGGGATAGAGGAAAAGTGAGGCGCCTAAATTGCAGCACGTAGGCCACATTATATTATTTTCATTTTCATTTCCATGTTGCGTGCCACGGCGCCAGCCTCATGCGGGTTTTCCTTCCCTTCCAACATTGTAAACAAACCGAAATACCAACAAAATATCTACACACAACATATACATGTGTATATATATATATATAATTTTTGGTACCAACTGAGAACCGACCGTGTGTCTGTGGAAATGTTATCAAGATTTATATTTTGTAAAAGAAGAAAACAAACCAAATTAAAGTAACAGCCAAAGATGCAGATAAGTCCGCTCTGGAGACATTTTTCACAAAGATTAAACTCGGGGGAAAATTAAAGAAAATCTTGTCTAGACTCAAACAAAAGTGTTGACCGCAAAAAGTACAAGAAGTGCAACATCTCTGCTCAGTCACTGAAAAATTGCACTTACCTCAAAGCCGGCAAAACCGAAACTGAGACCTAAAACCGAAGGCTTGAATCGAGACAAAGCCATATCGGGTTTCTCACACCTACACAATAGGAGGGGGAAGCAAATGGAACCACGCTTTAGGTACCTAAAAGCTTGCACAATGACCAAAAAACAACTAAAACAGGGTCCTAACTGTTTAGGGGGTTAAAAAAGTATGAAATTAAAGCAAAAATTAAAGAACAATCAATATATCGTTGGTTATTAAAATGGTAATCGATTTAAGGACATCTCTATTAACATATATCCTTGCCTATCGATTTATCGAACTAACACAGAG